TGTGTGTGCTCAACTCCTGCTGCCTGGACCCAGGGTGGGCAGGCCTGGGATCCGGGAACCGCCCCCGCTGCCCCTCCTCCTCCCTCCCCTCCCCCTCGGCCGCTTCATTCACAAACCCTGCCCCGCCCGCCCGCTCCCCGCCGCGGCGGCTTCCGAGTGCAAATCAGGCCGGGATGGGCCGGCGTGGACGCGGGTGTTCTTAAAGGGACAGGGGCCTCCTTTCTCTAAGCTCGTCTCTGCTGGACGGGGCTGGGGGTGGTGGAAGAAGGGTCCCTAGAGTCAAAGGTCAACTCTTTCAGCCCCTAGCCTCCAGGCTTATGGAGTTAAGGGAGTAGGGAAGTGAAGGAGACCCCTAGGTGGCCTCCACCGCCTAGGCCTGAGGACGGAATAGGAGGAGAACTTGAATGTCCAGACCCGCTACTGACCTCTCCCCCTGCCCTAAGTAGCCGGGCTCCTAGGGGCGGCACTGGAGGAGGTTCCGACGTGGGTGTTCCTGGCGGACTCCTCTGTCCTCTCTCTTCTCCCCCCAGCATCCCGCCCCACCCCGCCTCACATCCTTCAAGTTGGGCTTCTCTGGAAGGTTTGCCTAGTGGAGTGAGGGGGGCGGGGATCTCACCCTTAACTCTGACGCAAACAGGAGGCTCGGCTGCGGGGGTGGCATTAAGGGGGGGCAGCAGGAGGCAAGAGGGATGAGGCTTCCAGAAACAGAGACGTGGGGGGAGGACTGTGCTGGATTCTGTGGACCTTATAGAGAGGGACACAGCTGAGTGGAGAGGAATTGCTGGGAGGGGCAAGGCTGGGGAAGAGGTTGACAGGGGTGGGAGGTAAGGCCCTGAGGTGTAAAGGGAGGTGTGAGGTTGGAGTGAGGAGGAGTAGGAGGCAGGGAGGGGTGGGGAGAAGAAGAAGTGCTGGGTGAGGCCAGTCTCCCAGGAAGAGGTGGGACGGTGCCCAGAGAGAGGAGGGGCTGGGATGGTTGAGCAGGAGAGATGGGAGTGTTGGGGTGGGCTTGGCAGGAGTAAAGCTAGGCTGAGATGCGTTATGTGTTGCCTGAGCTCAGTTGAGGAAATACCTGCCCCGCCTCCCCTCCACTGGGGACCCACAGGCGTTTGCCAATCCCTACACACATTCATACCCAGACGTGTTCCTGTGTGGACACAAACGCTTAGGATGCACGAAGGCTCCACGCAGACCATGTGCCTGGGAAGGCGCACTCCATAGGCACACGTGTGTACTCAAACGCCTGTGTGAACACAAGCATATACATGTATATAGGACACGGTCTGCCACTACAGATATAGTCCTGGCAACACACGTGTGAGTGTGTGTGTGTGCCTGCCAGCACGCATATAGATGTATCCACGTGTGTCTGATGAATGTTCACAATATACATGTCACATAAAGATCCATTCATGTCCAGCTGAGTGCAGTGGCTCAGGCCTGTAATCTCATCACTTTGACTTTGGGAGGCCAAGGTGGGCAGATCACTTGAGGTCAGGAGTTCAAGACCAGCTTGGCCAACATGGTGAAACTCTGTCTCTACTAAAAAAATACAAAAAATTAGCCAGGCTTGGTGGCGTGCACCTGGGAGGCTGAGGAAGGAGACTCACTTGAATATGGGAGGTGGAGGTTGCAGTAAGCTGAGATCCTGCCACTGTACTCCAGCCTGGGCAACAGAGTGAGACTCTGTCTCAAAAAAAGAGATTCACTCATGTCCTAACACTCAGACATGTACCCATAAATATCTGTTAAGGTCCCCAAACCCATGAAGCACACATATATTCATATAAGCATATGTCAAAGCCATGTGTGTACGCACATGATAACACTTGCCTGGACATTCACACCACCCCCTTTCAACAAGTGGATGATGATGCCTACAAGTAAATACCCATTTGAGTATTTCATTGCACACAAGTGCATACATGTATGCAGATAAACAAATACAGCTGCCACAGAACTGCATCCATGTACACGTGCAAACATCAATATGTGTGTTTTCCACCTAACATATCACCCACAAGCTCACACACACCAGTGTGTCTCTGATATACTGACACCCCACTCCCAGACACACATGTGCAGACTCCCACCTGCATTGAAATGGTGCACATACCCTGCACACATGCACACTCATATCCATGTACAGGCAGGCGCCTGCCTGCTCTGGTAAGATGAGCCAGCTACTGCTGCAAATGTCCAAGCAAGTATAGGCAAATGCAAGCTCTTGTGTATACACCCAGCACCAACACATAGCAGACCACCCTATATGATGCACGGGCCTTATCTCTGTCCCCTTCATTTACTTATCCATGTGGAGTCCCGCTGCTCCCCAACATTTTAATCCACTCGCGAGGTCCTGGCAGGATCCTGAGGCTGTGAATGGCAAATGCTACCTGGTTCCTTCATGGAGTCACTCATTTTATTTACGCAACAAGCATTAATTGAGCACCAACTGTATACCAGGCACTGTTCCTGGCTCTGGGGACCCAACCTTATTCCTAATCACCACCCATGCACCTCCCATGGGGTTAGAATGAAAGAGATGAGGGAGGGCTAAGGGAGCTGAGGAGTAGGGTATCCAGGGCTCTCTTCCTCTGGGAAGCCTGCCCTGATTGCACCACCACCACCATTTATTTGAGTCTCAGAAGATGTGATGAGGGAGAGATTA